AAGGACATCGTGAATTATAAACATAATTATGCATGGTGTCAAGGAAGGAGAAATATTTTAATTGTTAGTTATTTAAGCTAAATGAATGGACTGAAATGGAAGTTGTTCTTGGGATTTTATATCAATGACATATATAATCTAATAAGGTTCTAGGAACGATGGTTTCTACTATAGTTATACATATCATGAACTTTAGATAAAGGTTACATGCTGTCAAGAGTTGAGGAAATTTTAATCACTGGTTTTGTTTTAAACCAATTTACATGGATTAGTATAAAATACTTTTGGGGTTTTATATAATGTGCAGTTTAGACTTCTGAGTGTTATTATATCAGGCACAGGATTTACAATTGGGAATTAAAAGGACGTCATGAGATTTGAAGATTAATTTACATGCCGTCAAGGATTAAGAAGGTTTTAAATGTTAGTCTTCGTTTTAATAATGTAAATGAACTAGTATGGAAGAATTGGTTGGGAATTCTAGTATAATGTTGCTCAGTTTATAATTCTGATAATTATTATATCATGTTATAGATGTTAATTGCTGAACTGTTATAATGTATGTTCTGTCAATTATATGAAAATGGGTGGTTTAAATTGTTTATTATTATTTTAACAATTTAAAAGGAGGATCTATGATTATAATCATATATTGGATGCATGATAGGATCTTATCTATATCTGATTTCTATTATGTTGGTTTCTAGATATACTTAATGTTTATTTGAATGTGCATAATTTATGAATCATATGCATTATATGCACCGGTATGGGATGATAGCATATGGAGGGACGAATTAAATCAAAATGCTAATTCCTACCCATTCATACATACGGAATAGATTAACTAAAACAGTTAAATCCTACGTGGATACATGTCCTATCAACTAAAACAGTTGAACGACATAACAGATGATTGCTTTATTTTTTCTACATTAGAAAGGATATTATATATATACTTATGGTACTGTGATACGAGCTTGAGTCTCCTGATCACGGTTAGGGTGCGTATATTGCAAATGTTGAGTAGCTAGATATAGCTGATATTCCCTAGTAGGTCTAGGTACTTGGCCGCTGGAAAACGTATTTTATATGTTACCTTCTACCCAGGCTGAACTATGTTATAGGCTAGTGAACATCCTATAGTGTGTATATATATATATATATATATATATATATATATATATATATGAACTATTTTAGATATTGCCGAACTATCTATGATGTATCTGCGTATCGAGTTTATGTATGGATTGTAGTAGGATGGAACTTGCATGTGGGCCTGACCTACTCTTATTTTTCAGTTGGTCGTCAGTACCAAGCTTAGAGCTTGATCGTGATGATGCTGATACAGACACTCACTCTTCCGACTACTTAGGATTTCATTTATTATTTTAGTTTTGGATTTTGGTTTTGTAATTATTGTTCATTTGGGATTATTATGGGTCCACTGGATAGATTCCTGAGTTGTAAGGATTGAAAAATTAAATTAAATTAAATTATAATATTTTATTTGGAGGATTTTTATATTTAGATTTCCGTTCAGCGTATTATTTTATTCTTATTTCATTTTGTACTCTTGCTTGTTTGCATATTAATTGTCTGATATCCCTCGGATCTATGCTCGGACTTGATCACCCGTAGCTCTAGAATCGAGGACTATCACAGGTCACCCTACCCCACCCCACCCTATTTAGATAGAAAAATTACTTAAATATCCTTATTTCAATAGTATATATATTTCCCAGTATATATATTAAGTACCATACATAACAATATTAAAGTAACAAATGAATTTGATTAAAAGGAAAGTTGCAATGGTGAAAAACTGAAGATGAGGAAAAAAAAAAAATAATAATAAATAAATAAATGAGGAGTAAATCTATTTCAACAACAAATAAATTATGGTTTTAAATGGGGCGGTGCAGGTACCCGTAGGGGTAAAAATGTTAAACGGTTGTGGGGATGGGGTGGAAAGTCTTCCCGTTTTTCCTATTTTGGGCGGAGATGGAAGCGGGGTTTTTAAACTGTTGCGGGGGCGAAGGAGGGTACTGTAATACCCCTAATTTTAAAAGGATAGTCTTGGTAATTATTTAATTGTTTAATTGTATTTTTAATTTATTTAATTTGTTATTTATATTATTATTTTGAGGATTTTCGATTAGAGTTCTTTTCAGCCATTCTTATTTATTTCTTTTTATTTCATCTTGTATTTTGTGTTCATTAAAATATTAATTGTTTGATATTCTCTCGGGTTTGGGCCTGAGCCTGATCAACCCATGTCTCGGATCCGAGGGGTATCACAGTTGGTATCAGAGCCCGGTTTCAGCGGTGGTTGAGTGGGGACAGCCTACTTCACCGACCGAGATTCGGAGTTTCCTCGATTTGGCAGGATACTACAGGAAGTTTATTCAGGGATTCTCAAAGATAGCAGGACCACTCACTTATCTGACTCAGAAGGGTGTACGGTTCGTGTGTGATGAACATTGTCAGAAAGTTTTTGATGAGCTGAAGACTAAGTTAACTTCTGCACCGGTTTTGTCTACCCCACAGAGCGGGATAGAGTATCTGGTCTATACGGATGTTTCTTTGCAAGGTCTTGGATATGTTTTGATACAGGAGGAGCGACCGATTTCATATGGATCTCGGAAGCTTAAGCCTCACGAGCTTAATTATCCAACGCATGATTTGGAGTTGACAGTTGTGGTTTTTGCCTTACGTATTTGGAGGCATTATCTGTTGGGTGAGTCCTTCAGATTATTCAGCGATCACAAGAGTCTGCAGTATTTGTTCACTCAGCAGGAGTTAAATATAAGACAGCATAGGTGGTTAGAGTTTGTGAAAGACTATTACTTTTCTATACAGTACCATCCAGGGAAAGCGAATGTGATGGCTGATGCACTTAGTCGCCAACCTGCTGGTAGTTTTTGTGCTCTATTCACTACCGAGTGGAATGCATTGAAGAAGGTTGATAAATTGTCGGATGCTTTCATGGCTTGCATGGTAGTTGCACCTTCTATCATTCATAAGGTTTTGAAGGCACAATTAACGGATCAGTAGTGCATTAACAAAGTTGCAGAGATAGCTTCTGGAGAGGTTCCATTCTACTATATTGGGGCTGATGGAGGTTTAAGGTACAAGGGACGGTTTGTGGTACCTTCTCCTGATGATTTGAGGAATGATGTGATGACTGAGACTCACCACTTTGAGTATTCTGTTCATCCAAGAGGCAATAAGATGTATCAGGATATGAAGCGGCAGTTTTGGTGGGCAGGTATGAAGAGGGATATTACTCTTTTTTGTCTCACGATGTAGTACTTGTCAGATGGTCAAGATTGATCATCAGAGGCCGCCAGGAGCTTTACAGCCACTACCGATATTGGAGTAGAAATAGGAGAGCATTTCTATGAATTTTGTGGAAGGGTTGTCAAATTCCTTCAAGGATCATAATTCCATTTGGGTCATCGTGGACAGACTGACTAAATCAGCTTACTTTTTGCCTATTCGTACTAACTTCACTTCGGAGCAGTTAGCAAGACTTTACATTGTCGAGATTGTGAAGTTGCACGGCATTCCATTGTCTATTATATCGGACAGGGATTCGAGCTTTGTGTCAGGGTTTTGGAAGAGTTTTCAGATGGCTTTGGGTACAAAATTACACCTTAGTACTGCTTATCATCCTCAGACTGATGGACAGACTGAAAGGGTAAATCAGATTATGGAGGATATGCTCATGTCATGCGTTCTTGATTTCAAGGGCCATTGGGAGGATTATTTACCGCTTGTGGAGTTTACTTATAACAATAGTTTTTAGAAGACTATTGGGCTGGCACCATTTTAGGCGTTATATGGCCGACCCTGTCGATCGCCTGTTTGTTGGATGGAGGTTGGCAAGAGCAGATTCTTGGGTCCTGCGTTCATCAAGGATACTTCTGAGAAGATAGCTCTTATTCGAGATCACATGCGTACTGCCCAGAGTAGGCAGAAGAGTTATACGGATCGTCGCACGCGTGCTTTGGAGTTTCGGGTTGGGGATCTGGTTCTACTCAAAGTGTCGCCTATGAAGGGTATAATGCGCTTTGGGAAGAAAGGAAAGTTGTCACCGCAGTTTGTCGGTCCATTCATGATTACGGATCGAGTTGGAGCTGTCGCTTATAGGTTGGCACTTCCGGATAATTTGGATCGTGCCCATAATGTGTTCCATGTCTCCATGTTGCGGAAATTTCTGCGAGATGAGGATCGGTATCAGCATATCGATGTTGGGGAGATTGAGTTGCAGCCGGATGCAACTTATTTGGAGCCACCATGTCGTATTGTCGACCGTCGGGATCAAATCCTTTGTAACAAGGTTATTTCATTAGTTCGTGTTCAGTGGAGTCAACACAACAAAGCTGAGTCCACTTGAGAACGGGTGTATGTCATTCGCTCGCAGTTTCCTGAGATATTGGAAGAAGGTAAGAGCGAATTTCGAGGACGAAATTCCTTTTGTTAAGGGGGAAGAATGTAATACCCCTAATTTTAAAAGGATAGTCCTGGTAATTATTTAATTGTTTAATTGTATTTTTAATTTATTTAGTTTGTTATTTATATTATTATTTTGAGGATTTTCGATTAGAGTTCTTTTCAACCATTCTTATTTATTTCTTTTTATTTCATCTTGTATTCTGTGTTCATTAAAATATTGATTGTTTGATATTCTCTCGGGTTTGGGCCTGGGCCTGATCAATCCGTGTCTCGGATCCGAGGGGTATCACAGGTACACCCGCCTAAACCCACCCCCGTTGCCATCCCTAGAAATAACCATTCTCATTCTATTATTTGATTGTAAATATGAAATACGTAGGAATAGAATGATAATAACCATTATAGTGTTTGGTTGGACCAATTTTAAGTTTAGAATGGAATAAATTTCAAATTGATTTCTCCAAAATATTCCTCTTAGTAACAAATAAATTTAATTAACAAAATAACATTCTTTTATAATTTTAAAAAAATAAATGATGGCAGTGGTGGAGGTGGATGTGGAAAACGGTAGTGGTGTAGGTGGTGGTGGCAATGGTGGAAGGCGGCAGAGGTAGTGTTGTTGGAAGGCAGCAGTGGTGCTGGTGGAAGGTGATGTCAGTAGTGTGGTGATTGTGGAAGGCAGTGGAGTTGGCAGTGGTGGTGGTAGTGGAAGGCAGTGACAGTGGTGGTGGAAGGCAGTGGGGATGGTGGTGGAAGACGGTAGCGTTTGTGGTGGTGGAAGGTGGTGGTGGTGGTGGAAGGTGGTGGCGTTAGTGGTGGTGGAAGACAGTAACATTTGTGGTGGTGGAAAGCGGCGGTGGAAGGCGGTGACGGTGGTCGAAGGCGGTGGCGTTGGTGGTGGCAAAAGGTGGTGACAGTGGTAGAAGACGGTGGCGTTGGTGGTGGAAGGTGGTAGAAGGTGGAAGGCGGTGACGGTGGAAGGCGGTAGCGCTTGCAATGGTGGTGGAAGGTGGAAGGTGGTGGCGGTGGTAGAAAGTGATGGGGCAGCGGTGGTGGTGAAAGGTGGTCGCAGTGGTGGAAAGTAGTGGTGGAAGGTAGTGGTGAAAGGTGGTGGTAGCGATGGAAGGTGGTGGAGGTGGAAGGCAATATCGGTGGTGATGGTGGCAGGTGGTGGTTGTGGTGAAAGGTGGCAGTGGTGGCAGCTGCGGTGGTGGTTGCAACAAAGGAAGACGGTGTCGGTGGTGAAAGGAAGTGGCAGTGGTGGTGGTGGAAAGCAGTGGGCAATGGTGAAAATTAGTGACGGTGGTGGCGGCGGTGGTAGTAGTGGAAGTCGATGATGGTGGTGGTGAAAGGCGGAGGTGGTTGTGGTAGATGGTGGTGGTAATTTTTGGATTTGGAACATGAGAGTTTTTTGGGAAGTTAAATTTTTTAAAAAATGTTACTTGGGAATGGAATGACCATTCCATAGGTTTAGTTGGGGAATGGATTTTCATTCTAATGGAATGCCCATTCGAACTTTAAATTGCATACCAAACAAAAGAATGTTTAAATGGGCAATCCATTCCATTCTTGCATACTAAATGTAGCATTAATGTTTACATTTTGGACAAATAACACCACTATCCCTTATTTTAAATATATAAGTCGGTTAAGTTTGAAAAAAAATGTGACAAAGAAGGGCTTGAGATCATTGTTTCGTTACAATTTTAGTCATGTGTATTACACATGACATTTTTAAGACATAAAATTTTAAAAGTACTCTGGTCTCTTCTGATAATACTCATATACACACTTATCACATTTAATTAGTTTTTTTTACCTATTTTTTATTAAATTAATAGACAGATATTTTTGTCTTTTCAGCATTCGGGTCCTTATTTGCACTAAAATTGAATATTAAGAATGTTTTAAAACTTATATACTCTATAAGCATATCATAAGAATAATATGTAAATTCAAGTTAATTTGCATATAATGTCATATTTACACTTTATAATGAATTGTCTATATAATGATATCATATTTACGCTTTACAATGAAGGGTACCAAGCCCACCTAGTAGACTTGGAAGACCATCGTAAAAGGCCCTTAGCCGAAACAAAGGATTACGAGGCCCAATCCGGAGGCCCAAGGTAATTTACAATTAAAAGACCATTAGAGCAGTAATGGGCTCTAAATCTATTGCTACGGGTAATCAAATTAGGAGGGTTTGGCGTGGTGGTGGATTAACGAACGAGTCAGGTAAATCCCAGTCTCTCGCATATTATGAAATGCAGATGAAGTATTTTTATTATAAGAGGATCAAACAGAAATTTGGCAAAAGCCACAAATATTTTAATATCCATTTATGTGCAACTGTTTCAGTGACCAATTGCATCTTTGGTCTTTCCTTTTCGTTTGACTACCGGTGGTTATATTTAATCTTAAATGGACTAAAAATACACACATCAATCTTTCGTTCGCATTCTCTCTTTCTATTTTCACTTCTATATTATGGGTTGTGAAATGATCATCTCTTTACCCTTCTTTCTATTGATTTCTATCTGGATGTGAGGCTATGATTATCAGAAAAAGAGCTATAGATTAAAAACATATTTTGGGAAAATTTTTATCTGAAATTAAAACATTATATAATTAGAATTGTTTTGAATGGCTCAATGTTTATTGTATGGTGATTAATTGAACTTTCAGATACAAATATGAATTTTAAGATTGGAATTTGTTGAAGTCACAACGTCTCACACGAGATCCACTAATGAGTCCCGGTAATTATAAAAATCACAGATGTACTTTCATTAATGCTTTTAATTGGTCTCTCCTAAAAAAAGTCATGAACTTCCTTGTTTTTTTAAATGCATTAAATAATTTATTTTACTTTTTAAATATCTTAAAAAAAAAAAATTATTTAATTTAATAATTAAAACACTCTTATAATCAGAGATACCTATGTTAAAAAAAAATATGTGTCTAATTAATAAATGTACCCGTTTCATTAACGTGTCTGATTAATATACGTACACCACCGCTCTTGTTCCATCAACGTGTCAAAATCTCTTCGGAATCCATCAAACGCTTGCTTATTATATGTCATCTAAACCCTAGCCGCACCCTCACGGCTATCCTCACTATCATATCGAAATGGTAACGCTCTCTGTAAATGGGGATCTCTTTGTCGCCATAGATCTTTTGTAAATTATTGTATCTAGATGTTAACGGTGGCTATGGCAACAGATCTCCTGGTGAATGTTAACGGTAGATATGGCGATAACGAAGAGGTCTATTTACATGGCTTCACTCCACTTCACTATGGCGACATCACGTGACTGTACTGGAAGATGGTAACGGTGGATTATGAAAAATGAAGGGATTATAAAAAATCAATCGATAATTCTTTCAGGTATGATTTTTTTATCCATTTATCCTATAATTTATTTTAATTTTTTATTATTAACACCACTATTTTGCTGAGCTCAAACACTTTTAACTTCTCACTCTCTTAACATCTTATATAAGGCACATTAGAATGCATTACATACAATCAATGGCTATCAATGGCTAGAACTTACTGTCTAAAACTTTCCATCTAATTAATTAGATATTTATAATTTCTACCCAACTCTCAACTCTTCTAGAATATTATCTAATCTACAATTTCCTAATTGTTGCTTTTATTTGTAGAATTGATGAACAACTTTTATAAGCAAAAACTTGTTGGCTTCAGACTTCCCTTTCCAAACGACCACTTTACTTCTAATAATTTTTTTGGCCATTGAGCATGCTCACATTTGAATTAGCCACTATGGTTAGATTTTGACTCCTTCCCATTAAATTGCATTTTATAATTTATTTGCTCAAATTTATAAACAGAGAAAGAGCGAGAAAAATATAAAAACCAACAAAAACAATTACACATCATATCTTTTAAGAACTATATTTTTAACTAAAAGTTTGTTAGTGCTAAAAAGGTCATAAGTTGGACCAATTTAGAAACATAGATTTGGTTTTCGGTGTCAAAATGAGATTGGAATAGTAGAAAATTGGCCGTTAGTGTTTTCATTTTATATAGTGTGTGTTTTAGATCAATGATAAGTGTTTAGAAAAGACACGCAGGATTATATTATAAGATCTCAATTAGAGTTATATTTTGATATGTATTATTGGAGGGTTACATCTTTAGACTGTTTATCAGAAGTGAAGGGAGTCGAATCATAGATTGTGGAAAAAGTCAATGGGTGTTGATCTACAAACCCCACCCAATTGCTTTTCAATCTATAAAAGAAAGGTGTTTGACCAGAGATAAACTACTTGATTTGTGGACCATTAAAATGTTAAAGATGGGAAGAACTAGAATTGCTTGCAAAGTGCAAGTCTTATATATATATATATATATATTCTTTTAAATACAAGAATAGCCTGTTAAACTCAAATTGAAAAGTACACAGGGGTTGTGGCTGACTGCATGAATTGGAACCTTTTGCCATTTAACATTAGTTTAATCCATCTCACTAGGTCTAAACATCCTAATCTTTCAATATACTTGGTAAGTTAACTTTTAACATCTCCAGAAACATACTCAACTTCAAATAAAGTTTGAAGGGATCTAATTCATAGAAATATTTTTTCATAATTATGAATAATGATAAATTATAGACTTTTGGTGATGAATATTATTTTTACCAATAATAAATATTATCCATAATTTTTAGAGGTATTTTTATGAATTAGGTCCCTTCAAAATTTATTTGATTTCGTAAAGTGTTCTTTTATTAATGGAATTTAATTTTTTAATTGTTCAATATTGTTATTAAAATTTAGTTGCATAGATTTGCTCAAAATCTATCAGATATAGTACGGGTCAATAAGTTTTCTTTAAACCCACAAAATTGATGTGATAAAATTAAATTAAATACACTACTTTCAAGTTGGATTAAGTTTGTCCTTGAGGGTTTTGAACCTTTAATGTCAACTTTTTAAGTCATGGGCTCCACCCACCGTCACTATTATTATTGTTTGCGTATTAACAACCTTACCTCTCCTTGTCTTTTCTAATAATAGTGACAGTGGGTGGAGTTCATGACTTGCTTGAAATTAAGGGGTAAGGTGTTGTATGAAATTAAAATTGTTGGACTTAACTATGGGTCTCTTCTGTGAATACATTTCTCGAGTGTCTCTTTGTGATAGACTGCCACCATGTAAAAAATTTAGCACTAACATGACTACTCATTGGATTAAGTTTCTATATCTATGACCTATGCATTGACAATATATATTAACTTGAATGGGGTTCCTATGCTATGCTATCATAAAAAATATTAGAATTCCTATATATAAATATATATATATTTTGGTAAGTTAAAAAAAATAGTAGAGCAAAAATATATTTAACTGTATATATATATATATATATATATATATATATATATATTATATATATATACTTAACTAGGAATGGATGCCTCAGTTATGCTCTCAAGAATATTGAAACCCTTTATATATTATACTTAACTAGAAGGGGTGACTTACATTTGGAGAAATTATTGGTTACAATGATTGTGCTAAGTCATTGCTACAATAAATTTTTTTTTACTTTAATTGAGTGTTTGTATTAATTGGTTGGTTGTAGTATAACCAATAATTTCTCACTGTGCACAAGAGAATAATCGAAATAACAAATTAAGTATAATGTTATCTATATAGGGATTCTGACCTATATTCTAATTAAGTATAATAAGGGAATTCTAAGCACCCTATTCTAATTTAAGTATAATATATATTCAGGGGTTCTAATTTTTTGATAAAATAACCTGAAACACACTATATATTTAATATTATACTTAACTTTTATTCGGTGACATGGGACTCCTTGATATGTCTAATTTAAATTAAATATGCAACACACCCTCCATTACAGTCATGCAGCATTAATTGCACTAAAAAATTGTACAGAGAAAGAATCAGACCATCATAAGTCTTCAAGGATTGTCTATGGGAGCTTGGAAGGATACAAGTTCTAAATTCTGTGTATAATTTTAGTGCAATTAAATTAAAGATTTTTTTATATATATATGTCTATACATAATTAATTATTATTATTATTATTTTAAATTGTCTATGAGAACTTGGATCATTTAATGAATAAAAATTTGGGGTTCAATTAATTATGTAAATTTATGTTCATTAAATGATCCAAGTTCTTATAGACAATTTAAAAAAAAAAAAAAAAATTTAATTATGTATAGACATATATATAAAAAAATCATTAATTTAATTGCATTAAAATCATACACAAAAACTTGGAACTTGCATCCTATCTTACAATTTAGACTCCTTGTATGGGGCACTAATTTGATAATCAAACTCCATCGAGATTTTTATTTTTTTATTTTTTATCCATACATAGGTGTAAATAAGGTGAGATTTTCTCCGCATGGGTTTGGAATCTTTGGATAAGTGAGCCTTTTGGAGGTTGAAAAAATAATTCTATGAATTAGGTCCTTCAAAATTTATTCGACATCAATAGAATTTAATTTTAATTATCCAATATTGTTATTAAAATTCAGCTCAAAATCTATCAGATAGTGCGGGTCAAAATGTCCCACAATATTGATGTGATAAAATAAAATTAAATAGAACTACTTTCAAGTGTATTGGATTAAGTATTCAAAATCTTTAAAATCACGTGAAATTGGTTGGATCTAGATTCAATTAGCCTTCTTTCAATAAAACACAGCTAACTAAATTTTTATTGACATGTATGGTGAAAAATTTAGAATATATAATTTTATATTGAATAATTAGATTATTAGTCAAATTTCTGTCTCACTTATCATTCATATTAACATATGTTAACATTTATAATTTTAAATTTCAAAACTCGAATTAAGGATCACATCTTTCCATTCGTGGAGGGACCAGCTTAGAGAGTTGAAGGGGAGAACTCAAAAAGCTCGAGGAATGAGAACTTTTCTCATTCTCTAATCTCGTCTCTAAAATAAGAATGAATCATTAGTGTTATCTTGATCTTTAGATGTGATCGATGATTTGATATAATCTTAAATGATGTCTGATCATGGAGGCTATGGCCTAATTAGAGACTGCAATTAGCTTATTGAATATAACTATTTCTGAGAATGTGAAAGTGAGATAATGTTACGATTATTGTGGATAATCCTAACGGTTCAAGCATCTCTTCTCATGGAGCCATTGATAAATTGTCACTGTAACTATTAACATTTTATTATTATAAAAAGGTAGACATGGGTTGAAGTTTGTACCACCAGTGAGCCTGTTTTTAATAAAAATAGAACAGGCAAGGTAATTTGAACCTTCACATGTCAACAACATATCTGTCACGTGAACTACTTGACTATGGATTAAATTGTTGACATGGTTCACATGATAGCCGAAAACAGATATGCCTGTTCCTTTGAAAAAAGGCGAGTCAGTTTTGATTCACTGAATCTTTAGTGTTGCCTTCGTATTTCCAAAGTGACTGATAGTGTTTATTTTAGTGGTTGATCTTTTTGCTCAAAAATGTTTAGTGAATTAAGAAGAGCTCGCATTTTTTTGCAAGGAATAGACATATCTGTTTTTGAACTAGGTAAGTCCAGCCGTCTTAATTTCACCACACGAATCCTAATTATGGGATATTTGATCATGGATGCTATCACCTAATGCTCCATTTGGTAAGATAATAATTTATAGAAGAAAGTGATACAAATGAAAAGAAAAGAAAATTCTCATCGTGAATTTGATTAGCATTTTTAAAAGAAAATTTTCATCGTGAATTTGATTAGCATTTTTAAAAGAAATTTGAGAGAAAAAAAAATGCTAATTTGTAGTTTGAATAACATAAAATTTATCACAAAAGAAAAGACATTATTGTAAGTTCATCAAACTTTATTAAGAAATTAAAATTTTCCTATAATTTTTTATACGAAAATTTTATAAAAAAGTTAGATGATTGTGGAAAGTAATTCTTTTGATAGACCTCTAAATTTAATAATCACATAATTAGTTAATGGTAACAGTGTTCACATGTTAACTGTGATTTTTTTTTTTTTTTTTATCACCAAATGCCCTCCAACTGGGTAATAGTGTTCACATATTTTCATCTAACCAATTTGGAGGGTAACAGTGTTCACATATTTTTATCTAACTAATTTGGAGATCATTTGGTGACAAAAAAAAAAAAAAATACTATTAACATTAACTAATTATGTAATTTTTTACATGATCCGGCCAAACACAAAGAGATAATCAAGAAATGTATTTATATTTTTACTTGCATGTATATTTGTGATTAGTTTGGACCAAATAATGGCAGATAATGTAATAATTTTTACCTTTCGAAAAGAAAAAAAAATGTAATAATTTTTTAAGCAATACCCCTCATGA